ACTGTTCTATTTATCACCGTATCGCAATGATCAATGACATTGAGCTCCGTGATAAGAGACTGCACATCTACTACCATGACCAACCCGCCCGGGACCGACGGGATAGCCTCCACACCAGGTGTCCCATATTTCATACCATACACCCTCAATGGCCAACTCGGTTGAGTGGCTCGCCACTTGCATTTGCCCTGGCGGTCAACAACCTCTCTGCTGTACAGTATCTTCTTTCATGCGGAGCCGACCCGTTGCTTCCTGTGTATGAGGAAAGCCAATACCCCCCGTCAGATCCTCGGGTGACATGGAACGCAATACACCTAGCGGCAAAATACCACAACTCGGAGATTCTCAAAGCGCTGTTAGAGGCCGATGGCGTCGCAACCAAGCTGAAGACTGCCGCAAATAGGGCATTTGGTTGCGCGCTGAGCTACTTGTCACCACTGGAGGAGGAAGCCATTCACGGCAATGAACGGAACCTTCGGTTGTCTCGGACGATCGAAATCCTGCGAGAACTTACCTGCCTCGATACCGTTGCACCTAACGGAATGACGGCGATTTCTCAAGCCATTGACTTCCACAGTGTCGATACGTTTGCGGCTCTGGTTCATGCTATGCCAGACCTCGCGTCCTTGCCCCTAACAAAGCCAGGAAACAAGAACATATACGACCTTCCCGTCATATTTGCAGCGCAGATGGCCGCCCGAAGAGACACTCCGGACAGTACTCACATTCTTGAGATCATTAGTTCGAACACCAGATGTTTCGAGGCGGAACGTGCTCCTCCAATGGACAGCATGGGTCGAACCCCGTTGCACATGGCCGTTACAGGACCGTCGAACCGAGCAACAAGTTGGCTCTTGAAGCTGTGTCCCAAGCTGCTCAACATCGAGGATAAGCACGGAAGAACAGCACTTCATAGCTGCTCATTTAGGACAAACTTGTCGATCCTGCTCGAGAATGGCGCCATTGTCAACCACACCGACAAGTACGGCATGACGGTCCTTCACAAAGCCTGTCTGAACGGCAATCTTGAGATTGTCCAGGCCATTTTACAGCATGAGCAAGAGAAGCCAAAACTCGACCTCTGCAACAATCAATATGGCACCCCATTACATTGTGCCATCATGAACGGCTCACTGGAGATCGTCATGGCCCTGTTGAAGGCAGACTCACCGCTGGATAAGCATGACTTTTATGGCAACGCGCCTGTGCACTTGGCAGTGTTAATGGGCAGGAACGCCATTTTCAGCTTCCTATTTCGTAATCATAAGCAGGGAGCTGACATCACCACTATGCGAAACAAACAGGGCCTGACCGCACAGGATATCGCAAGGCGATCGGGAAATGAAGTTGCCTTGAGGATTCTGCCACGAAGCGTCGACGGCTATGAAACCTCGCTTCAAGGCGAACTAGGTGACGAGGAGCTACCAATGTACGGAAATGAGCAATACAGCAACCTTGGGCTCAATCTGCCTGGAGACGACATGGAACAGGCAACGATCGAGTATATCGAGCTGGAGACTAGTCCTATCAGTATCATTCCAAGTGCTACCGGTGATACTGAGATGCGAGTGGGACCGAACGATACGGAGGAGACTGGTCGAAGGAAGCTGGTGGAATTTGCCAAGAATTACTGGAACCCGCACTAACTATCAGTTCCAGCTAATACGAGACACTATCGGCATGATAGTCCGCAAGGCCCACTGGGAAGATCGATCCAAAGAGCCCGAGGAACAGCTCGTAGACCTTATGGGTTGCTGGTGGGACTGCGACTATATCTTGGGAGGAAATGTTGTTCCGAACGGAGTGCAACTGAAGCTGCTCCAGGGTGTGCTCGGCATCGTCCAGCCAAGGTGGTCGGCCAGTGAGGATGCCCGCATCAAGTACGAGGAACTACTCGACACTGTGAAGTTTCATCCAAGTCAGGAGAACGACTCAATTGCTTGGAAAGATGCGAAATTTCCAACCCAGGGAACAGATATCAGAAACAATTCCGTGTCGGGTGCTCATAGGTTCGCGCCCCTCGCACAGCTTAACCGTGATTATGTTGAACCGGAAGAGGAGGTACGAAAAATCATCCAGCAAGGAATGTTCGTCAGCCCGGCAGGATTTGAGGAGATGCGCAAAATATACAGCGAGGAAGAGATTGAGAGGTTGAAATTGACTGTGACTTTTGATGGAAGGCCACCACCACGGTCACCACCACCGGAATTTACGGAATTTCGCGGCAGTTAAGCTGGTACTATCACTGCGTACGAATGGTCAAGGCACAGGGTTTAATCATTAAATGGATGGAAGAAAGCTGATGAAAATCCAATCCGGAGGGATGACCGAGGTGCTATCCCCCTCGGAAAGGTGAAATGGAGGATGTGGAACACCGTCGACTAATCTGCAGCTCGACTGTCCCGCTCATCTTGGAAGGCGTTGGAGGTAGTGAACAGGAGAACTTGCTTATTGGGCACCGAGCTTTAACTTAATGCACGTTACATTCGCAATAAAATATGATAAGGACCACTGATACAAAATGACTAAAAAGAAAGCAGTGACATAAATATACCTAGGCAAAAGATAACTCCGGTACGGGGAATCGAACCCCGAGCCCCGCGGTGAAAACGCGATATGTTGACCGTTACACTATACCGGATGTTGGTATTAGTGATGTGTCAGCACCTAATTACAGTTTACTAGGTTACTGGAGGTGGGGGAATACTGAAAAGGGGTAATCGATACAGTGGGGATTTCGGAAAAGGGTGGACCAGAGGAAACACAGTACTGGAAATTTTCAGTTTTATAAAAATAAGAGATACGAAACCGGCTCTCTAAGATAAGGAGGTAATAAGGTAAAATGAAGAACAGTATCTTGCTCGAAGAGGGAAAGAGAGTCAACAAGGAGGGATAAGAGAGTTTCTCAAAAAAGAAAATACTCACTCAGAGTTCTGGGTATTGAATAGCTGCGACTCGTTTCGATCGAGTGACCTCCGGGTTATGAGCCCGGCGCGCTTCCGCTGCGCCACGCAGCTGTTGCTGTGAATTAGATTATAATATGGTTAATGCAAGCTTCTAATATTGTGGGATTCGTCCTCGTCGAGTCAGGGTTTGTGTTGGTGGATATTTTCTGTCTTGGGTACGTATGACTCACACTCTCTACGGGTACCTTATGCTCTATCTTGATGAGATCTAACGGGATGGAGCTGTGAGTGTAAAAGCCACAAAACCATCTTGGTTACCGGGAAAAACATGTCAAGCGTTCTCGTTGACGTCCATTTTATGGATTCCATTTTTTTCAGCCAACATTTCTGTTTCTTCATTTCGTTGGGTACCTCTTGACGAAGGACATGAACTTCGAGCCTACGGCGATGGGCGCGGAAGGCTAAATTCTAAGTTTACAAGTACAGCAGCCACACTGGAAGCATATCAGCAAAGTCAGCCGGTGGCATTCGCAGACACCTCTGTCCGTCATAGGTCTAGCAAGTCAGTAACGGTGGCGCCGCAACTGAGCGTGGCAATGACGCGGAGATACCTGGCATGTCCATCATTCTCAAGAGATCATGAAGGACCATGAGGATCGTGAAGGTTGGGTCCCCGAGGGAAGCATGTATGCCCAGACAATTTCCCAGAAACTGCCTCTGGACATCAACATGCCACGCATTCATGATCAAAGTTCAAGATGATGTTTCAAATGACCTTGTCAGTTATACCGCTATAATTCATCTCCAAGTGAAGTTGCAATTTTGTGCGTGAGATACTTGTTTTAAGTTCATACAACCGGGGGACGTTCACCTCGAACACCGGACCGGTCTTTCCTTCCGTGTGGAAATAACTGCAGCAGGACGGACCCATATCAGGACACGGAGGTCCACCTGCTCACAACCAAATCACCGGAAATGACAAGAGGCGCGGTTAGTTCAGTGGTTAGAATCCTTGCTTCCCAATCTCATCGTGGACAAGCAAGGGACCCGAGTTCGAATCTCGGATCGCGCAGTAACGGTTGCCTCATTTCTTAATTCATTCTTTTGGCATTTGTATTTTTATTTTCTTCTGGTTCCCATCTTATTATCGCTTTGTCTTTGCTGCATCCTACCCTCCTACTTCGATTTCTCTCTACCACATCGGACACGCTTACTCGTTGCCATTGATCCAGCCTGATTCTTTCAAGTTCTCTTAGTACTCGCCGCCCGGCCATATCCTCTCAAAAGGCATACCCACCGGCCATTGCGCGTGTTTCACACCATTCGGCCTCGAGAAGCACTGACATTAAGCCCTCCAGACTTTTTAACCTGACTTCCCATCGGTACAACCGATCTTTGCGTATAGGAGGAGAAAGGCCGTTCGTCATTCATTGTCTCATAACTATCCGGGGTAACCAGAAGAGCTTTCTTTCCAATGTGCAATTACATCCCTCTTATCTTCCGGAAGAGATGATGGAAATAAACAGGAGGACGGTTAAGAACATATCATATAATAAGATTAACAAATCCGGCAACGTCAAATAGCTCCTAGATCGGTGTCGAAATTATGACGTGACAACCGGATTCCATTCGTACTCATGCCGCAGTTTGTCTGCTCATTTCCTTTACTATTCATCACATCGTGCAACACTTGGACTAAAAAAGACCTTTTGCTAATGGTGAATTATGAATATAATATCTTGGTTCACAGACATGATGTGTCCTTGGAGATGTGTTTTGGTATGACGGTATGAGACAGTCATGAAATACGGTACGGCACACCTCATTGTGTTTCTAGCGGGGGTGGGTGGAAATGGATGCTAGAAACCAAGAACTTCAATTTACTGAGAATAATAGTATTCCACTCTAGATATTGTACATGAACTTTTTTATGAGCTACTTGATGGTGTTTCTTCTTTTGGAATACCTAGATTGGTTTTGGAGGGAATCTGGAAAATACCGGGAAGGGAAAAAAAGAAAGTGGGACCTGGCGGGGTAGCTTGATAAGACGAACGACTTGGCACTAACACCAATCAGCAAGTCGCAATCAGCAAAGTCGCTTTGGCGGAGTGGTTAACGCGCTGCCCTGCTATTTCCGCTTGAAAGTTCAGCAATGTTCCTAGGGATAGCATGTTAGGCAGTTCCTTCGGGAGCGTAGGTTCGAATCCTGCAGGCGACGATTTCTTTTTACCTTTTTCCGGTTACCGGATCGCAGACATCAATCATCTTTTGTTCTCTCCGTCATTGTCCTTTTTTTTCCTCCAGAGCACAACACGGTTGGTCTCTCTCAGGAGCAGCTTCTTTAACACCGACCGCGAGACCCGTGATGACAGCATCCCTGAGGAGAACCAACCAAACAGAACCGGGTCCCGCTGCCCATCCCTCGGTTCCGACGACGTCTTATACCCGTGAAACTTCACCACTTCGAGCAGCGCCCCAATACACGGCAGCGAAACCATGCAAGCTATCATGCACGCCGATCCCAGCCCACTGTTTCCAGTGCCGGCTTATGCATATAACTGTAACGTCAAGCACATTCACCAAGACCGACCGGCTGGTCTGACCGACCTGCCCGACCATTGAGATCACTATCTTGTGCCTCTCTTCGGTGCTCTATGCCGCGTGTGACGTGTACCTTTCCTTTTTCTCTGTTTCTCGGCGACAGTCATCGTGGCTGAGCAGCTTGCTTCGTCAGGTGTAGAGCTGGAGTTAAGCAGTATGTTATCTCGCGAGCCCGAATATCGAAAGAAATGTACTTGATGGGTTGTAATATAGGAATCGCCAAGATGGTCGGTAGTTGTGTTGACAGATGATCGACGACTACCTCCTCTGTGAGGACTGTGATATACCCGAAACGTGGGACAGATACTCGAAGTTGATGGGCGATGCAGGTAGGGACTTGGCTATATATTGGCTGGGTCTCGACGGCACAATTCAGGCGGCCTGACAGTCCTCATCAAGGTACACACCGGCAACCTTCATTTGCCAGGCCCGCCCCCATCAACGCCGCATCTCCCCACGGAAACCCGCGTACCGATATTGTCTCCAATATCGCGCTCCCTGCCTCTTATTATACTACACCTAGGCATCATTGGCAAACATCTTTACCTTTATTACTCAGACTTATGCTTCCAAGGTCTACCTACCGGTTCTGAATAAGATCTCCAAACACAACCCAGAGGTTCGGGTCCGGAGACTTTTGCCATAATATTCCGTTCTCATCATACCCATCCATCCACCACATTCCAGTGTCTCACTTTCTGTTTCCCCCACACACTACATTCCAACTGCAGTTGAAGTTACAGAAAGTCTTCCCTCCCACAAACCGTTCATCGCGGGACTGGAAATAAGAACACAACATATAGACGACAGAGAAGTGCCTAGCTTCAAATTCAACACATCATTACAAGATGGGTTGGATATCTGATCTCATGATGGGGTATCGACTCTCAGCACGGGTTAGACTCGCTATTGCACTGTGCTTGGGTATGTCCACCTTTACTTAACATCAATAATTGACAACAAAGCAACATCTAACATGAACAATCCACAGTCCTAGTAGCTCTAGCCCACGCCGATCGCGGGTGGCATGGAGGCGGAGGAGGTTACAACGGGGGCGGCGGCTACAACGGCGGTGGCGACCAAGACACCGACGACGATGGCAGCTCCGGCAACAACAACGGATGGTGGGGCAATCCCGGGTCCGGAGGAACCGGCGACGGCAACGGCGATGGCTCTGGCTCTGGCAGCGGCGGTAACGGTCGCAACGGCAACAACAGAGGAGCAGGCTTCGACATTTCCTCGGCAACTTACTACCGCAACGCACACGGCATCGTCGCCTCGGTGGCCTTTATCGGCCTGTTCCCCCTCGGATCCATCTTGATGCGTGTCTTGCCTGGCAAGCTGGCGCTTTGGGTGCATGCCATTTTCCAGATGGTCAGTTTGGCCGTGTACATCGCTGCTGTTGGGTTGGGGATATATCTCGTGAGGACTGTGAGGATCCCGTTTGGGAACGGTGGGAATTTGGTTCGTTTTCTTCTTCTTTTCCCTTTTCTCTTGGTTGAATTTTGTAAAGGTGACGTGACTGTCAGACTGACAGACAAGTACAAAAGCTCACCAACGAAGCAACCCGCTACCACCCCATCATCGGCCTCGTAATCCTAGTCCTCCTCATCATCCAGCCAATGCTGGGGTATATCCACCACAAGAAGTACAAGCGTCTGTTGAGGCGACAAGTCTGGTCGTACTTGCACATCTTCAACGGCCGAATTGCTGTAACAGTGGGCATCATCAACGGCGGGCTGGGTCTCAACCTTGCCAATGCATCGGATTATCGCAAGAGAGTGTACATCATCGTCGCGGCTGTCATGTGGGGTCTTTGGATGGCCGTCGCTATCATCTCGGAAATTGTTCGGGCCAGGAGGACTCGTGTCCCCCGCAGCGCGAGGACTTCGAGCAGGAGGGGTAGCGGGCCGCCAGTGGAAAAGCCGATGATGAGTACTTCCCCTGGGGCACGGAGGAGCGAGGACTAGTGCGGGCGCATAGGACATGAGTTGCATCATCAGAAGCTATAGAGGGTGAATAACTGGTGAAGGCTTATGGAAAAAGACAAATCCGAGAGATTTTTGGATATGAGTGCGATATATTATGTGACCAGGTCAACATAGAAAGAGACATAATCTGGTATTTACTTAATGGATTTTACTTTCCATACCCCAATAAGAGACGTCACGACGACAGTCTGATATCAAAACGAGTCTTCTATTCGTGTCTGTGTTTGTCCAGAAGAAATCAATATTTAACCCGTCTGTCACATTATCAACAAGTCTTTCATGACAGACGAGGGCGTATGTGCGAGTCCCAAAAGACATGGAAAAGAAAGGTCTATCCAGATACCACCCTGCCATCTGCCATCTGTGACCGCTCCAATCAATGATATTGTGAAGACTTTACAGAATACAGTTGTCCCCGAGGCTCGGTCCTTGTAGCGTCGGGATAAACATCTCAACGTAAAAAAACACCTCAGCACCGCGTTGCCGCATTAGTGTGTCAGACAAGAAAGAGCAAAAGAAAACAAAACAAAATCAAAGCAAATACAATTAATACCCATAGCTTCCCAAGTCTAGCCAGACTCCTTGCTAAAGAAAAAAGACAGCCGCCATTAAAAGATAAGAAATGGCACATCGCAGACAAAATTGACAATTGAATACATCTTCATGTCCGGAGGGCCGGTGAAGCACATCTATTCCTCTTCCTCTATGACATGAGCTGGAGATTTGTCCCAGTCGTCGACAAATAACTGGTGTGACCAGTAAAGTGGGCCCTCATACTTGTGTTTCTGCCGCAAGACAAGTATATCATTCCCTAATTCGACAATATTAGAAATGAACTGATTCGGGGGAGATGGGGAGAATGGATGACCAACCTTTAGCTGAAACCATCTTCTGTGTTGTCGTGAGGAAATCGACCTGCGCTTTGTTTAGTCTGGCTATCTTTGCAGCCTCTGGGGTGCTCCAATCCATCTTGAGTGGTGCGGTCCCGTTGCAGACAAAGTGGAATCTCGACAGGATGATCTTGGCCCAGTGGAGGGCGCCTTCCAAGAATGGTATGTTGGAGTATTTCCCAGAAACAGCGTGGAGCTTTGCATGTTCAACTGAGTGTCGGGCTAGGTGCTCAATATGGTTCAGTAACATAAATGAAGCTAGATATGTGTCGAACCATGCTTCAGGCTTGGGTGGTTTGATGAGCTCGTTGAACTTGTTGATGAGCTTATCACGGAGAGGTGTCAGAACGTGCTTGATGACCACCTGGTCGAGCTGGGTGTCCATTGCCGGTGGGATGGGAATCTTGCCGAAGTGCGGATTCCGTTCATCTGTAACGCGCTCAATCCCGAGCGTCTCGTCCCCGCAAATGGTCCACGGTATCTCAATCATTCGACAAACAGCCCAGAGATCAAGTGCAAGCCGAGTGAGAGACTCTGGACGAGCTCTGGCATAGGCATCCGAAGCACCGACAGTCAACCATGGCAGGTCGCCGTCATCCTTGAGTGAACGTAGGTAGGACTGCTTCGCCGTCTCGATATAGTGCACGAAATGGTTCTTAACCTTCTCGAATGCAGTTAACGAGTAGTGAGGCATATCCATCACATGTGTGTTGCCTTCGGGATCCTGCCAGTGGTACGAAAGCACATCGCCCTTCACGGGCTCGAATTCGGATGCGTAAACTGTGAGATGGTGGCCTCCAATGTTTTGCGTCAGTTTCAGGCTTTTGATCATGGCCTCGTTCTTTGAGATTTCTCCGAGCTTATATATCATCGGTCGCTTGGTGTACAAGGGTTCGTTCTCAGCGGGCCCTGGAACATGTTAGCAAGGTGAGCGGGCGAGGACAAACTTCCTGGTAGCATCGGAGACGGCACGTACCAGAACGGAAAAATAGCAGATCTTCAAGCTTAGACTGGAAGCATGGCATCCTCAGTGCGCCCTTGTATAACTCTGTGTGGCCGCAGAGATCACAAGGAACGTATGGACTTTCCTTCAGAAACAGGTCGCACTGGTCGACAAGTCAGTCTCAGTCCGAGTCACTAGAACGTAAGGGCCGGGTACTCACGCCTTTCTTCGCCTTCTTACATCGATCACAGACACCTGCCTGCCGAACGAGCTTGACCCGCTTCTTCTTCTCGGCACTAAATGTAGCTCGCTTCTTTTCGCGACGGCCAAATGTAGTCATAGCCCCTTGAACTTCGCCGTTGCTTCCCTGCAGCAGCACCTCCCGTAGTGTCTGAGAGGCAGCACCAGGCGGGAGGTCTTCTGCCGGCCTTTTACGACTTCCATTTTGGCCGGCTTCCTCTTCAGGCTTGACGAGGACAAACTCAAATGCCGCAGCTGGTTGAGCCTTTGACAATTTCCGGTGTCCAAGGGGGCTGGGAGTGCCTCTTTCCGGCAGGCCATCTGGGACTGTAATATCCGTCGAAACAGTTGAAGCACGGCGATCGCGGCCAAGTGCAGATGCTGGGGAGAGCGGGTAGTGGGACTGGGGAGGAGGAGAGATGGCACTGGCGTCGATTGATGAGAGTCGAGATGGAGAACGATCATCGAAGGTCGGATTGAAGACAGGAGCTTGTAGCGAACCGGCATCTGGTGCCGATACAGCCGGAGGCAGGACTTGACTATATGGCGGACC